TGTCCCGGGTGTGTCCCGGGGGTGTGGCGGCGCGGGCCCCCGCCCCCGCGCGCGCGTCAGCGGGAGGCCCGCAGCCCCCTCATTGGCCGGCGGGGCGGCGGCCGCGGCGCTCATTGGCCCGCTGCCCGGCGGGGCGGGGGGAGCGCGCGGGGGGAGCGCGGAGCGCGGCAACAGCTGGAGCGCGGCCGCCCCCCGCAGCCCGGCCCCGCAGCCCGGGCCCGCCGGGACCCCCAGCGGGCAGCGCGGGCAGGGCGAGGGCTGACTAACTCCGTGGCCCCGCTCCAGTACCGGCCCGGACCAGCCGCCAGGAGCAGGCGTTGGCGTCATGGCGAGAGAGAGGGAGGGAGGGAGGGATGTGCAAGTCCTCTTTCCCACACAGCCATAAAGAGAGGGCTCTAGCGATGCCCCAGGTTGAAAGCCATTCATTAGTGAGGAAAAGAAGTCCCGTATTAAATAAACAAACCCGTTTGGGCGCTGAGAGCAGGCCAGTCTGTCTCCTGGCTCTATTTGATCAGCGGCAAAGCTGGCTCTACCTGATTGCATGGGGAGAGCAGGGAATTCAGATTTCAGACTTGCATTATTACACATTAAACAGCAAGAAATAGGACCTGTGTCAGTGTTCAATGCCAAACTTCGGGTCTTGTAAAGTCAGTAATTGAAATACGCCTTTCCTAAAAGTCTGGCAAAAGCAGAGCACGAAGTTCAGTGAGGTCTACAGATTACATTATTTCAAAAACCAAAAAATCAAATTACCTTTGGTGCAGTCACAATCCCCCTAAAGAGGCTTGGAACATCCCTATGCAGAACAGCCCAGGCACATCACTGTCCAGTATGTCTGATATGCACAACAAAATGCCCTTTCTCAAGTCTGCAAACAAAAAAACCCCATAATACAATTAAATACTTTCCTGTTCTAGCTCTAATTTCAGGAGTGAGAGAAAGGCAAACTCACTGAAGACAATCTACACATTAAATGTATACATTAATGTATACATGTATACATTAAAAAGCTAGTAATGAAGGACAGCAAGTAAACATAAGGCAAATCAGTCAAGCGCAGTATGAAGTCTGTACCAAAGAGTCTAATGAGAACAGCTGAGCAATCCATCACTGCTTGAATTATGGAAGGTACAACATATAATAAATACCCTTTATTAAAAAAAAAAAAAAAAAAAAGTAGAAGGAGAGATGTTGAAATATATAAGAGCAAATGAAAAGTTGGGAAGGAGCTACAATAGCAGAGGAAGTCAGCAGCTTGTAGGAAAGCCTGAGGCATCTGAGTTTTCCCATACAGGTATGGGCTTAACTGAAGGAAACTGGCAAGCTCACAGCAAAAAAAGGAAGCAGTGAGTTATCTTAAGGAGCTGCCTGACTTACTGTTTCTTCCTTGTCTGCATAGCCAGATGACATATGTAATTTGATAAAAATACTTTTACAGCACAGGACTCCAAGGAGATTTTATACAAGGCTTCCATTTACCAACATCCATGCCTTAATTCCTTCTTCCTTGCTGTAATATGCCCAATGTCCTCTGTAACCTCATTATACCCATTCCACCATGTGCCATCTTTTCTTTTATAATGCTCTCTTCAACAAGCAACGCTTCAGCTCTTCTGCTTGCTGGTCCTTCACATCCCCTATGATACCTTCAGTGCTCCCTGCCCTAATAATCTTTAACATTTCCTGCACCATAACCCAAATTTCAATTGTCACAATACTTCTGATTCCCCTATTTTTGTCTCACCTTCCAGCTGGACAAGAGGCAACGTAAGCAGCAGTCTGAACAGAAACTACAAGAATGCTGATCAGAGAGCTTACATTTTAAGGTGGACATTATCTCAGACTAGCTAACCTGATGATGCCTCTCAGATGCTGGATGTGACAAACAAGCAATTTTGGGATATACATGGCTGTTTTAACACTCTATACATTCTCAGATATAAAAAGGAATACACGAAGTCTGTTGCTTTTGCTACTTCACCACACATGCATATTCCTTGAACCTATTACCAAAAAAAAGTCCACTGGGCTATCTCACTGAAGAAAAATGGCAAGCAAGTGTTACATACAATGCTGTTCACAGGCACAAACAAAGAATTACAGCTATAAGCAAGTGGATAATGTTTAGCTATAAGCAAAGGTAAATGTATCCTGTGCTTAGGATCTTTATAAATCTTCCTCAACAGCATCAGGGAGAAACCTGCTTCCATGCTCTAAATATTAGGGACATCTTGAATAAAATATTTTACTTCTGTGTTTGCCTTTGCTACATAAGGACTTCAGCTGGCCTTGTTTCCCTGTTGGAAGCTTTTCTTATCTCCAGAAATTTGACCCCAAAATAGTAATTTTTTTTAAAAATCAAATTTTCAATTCTTTTCCCAGCACTTGGTGCTGTAAGGGTTGTTCTCAGCATATACTGAACAGACTATACTTCCCAATTTGCCATTGCATTCTTTTCAGACAGTCATGGCATTTCTATCTATATCCTTTATGCTTAGGAAATGAAATAATATATCTACCTACAATATCAGGCATTGTATGTTCACAAAAATCAAGCTATGTATAAATTCTCCACCCCTTTATGTGCACCCAAATTTGCAGTCAAAGCCCA